TCTTGTTTTTCCAAGTTGGTGGATATTTAGGGGGTTGCGAACCACCCCCCCCGATCCCCCCCCCGCCCCTATGCTGGCTGGGGAATTCTGGGAATTGAAGTCCACACATCTTAACATTCCCAAGCTTGAGAAACACCAAGCTGTAGGAGCATGCTGGAACCTCTACAGCTGTTCCCAAGGCCTCCTGCCTGAGGCTCTGGGGCCACATCTTGGCCCCAGCCTTGCTCACCATTTGACGATTCCTGACGCCTTCAATTTGGAGTTTGTATGCCGGTTTCACCTAAGAGGGTCTTGAAGTTCTGCTTCTCTGAGGCATTCTAAACAGAAGTGCAGGAAGTCGCCGAAGAACCTGATTGCAAGAGACAACAGATCGGTCTTTCCCTTTACAAAATCGCAGTGTGCAACCAAGGGAGGGCCGAAAGCTGATGTTGGAACATCTGAGTGCTCAGTTTGCAAGAAAACACTTGCAGGGGAAATGCCTGGCAGAGATCCAAGGAAATGCAGTTTTTGTGACTTTCAAATATTGGAAGAGGAGCCTGTTAAAAGAAGAGCTGCAAAACAACTTGGTGATGGGGGGGGGGCAGGACAAAAGGAACCAGTGGTGTAGTGGTTATATGGCAGAGGTCCAGGCACAACAAGTTGCTACTAAGCACTGGAGCTGGTTGGAGGTCTTTGAACCAGGCACTATTTAATAATGCGGTCTACCTCACAAGAGTGTTGTGAGGATAAAAGAAAGAGGGAGTAGAGAGTCTGCCTTTCAGCTTATCTAGGGAGGGAGGGAGGAAGGAAGGAAGGGAGGGAGGGAAAGAGCGAGAGAGAAACAGAGCGAGAGAGAGAGAGGAAGAAAGAAAGAAAGAAAAGAAAGAAAGAGGGAGGGAAGGAGGGAGAGAAAGGAGGAAGGAAGGAAGGGAGGGAGGGAAAGAGCGAGAGAGAAACAGAGCGAGAGAGAGAGAGGAAGAAAGAAAGAAAGAAAAGAAAGAAAGAGGGAGGGAAGGAGGGAGAGAAAGGAGGAAGGAAGGAAGGGAGGGAGGGAAAGAGCGAGAGAGAAACAGAGCGAGAGAGAGAGAGGAAGAAAGAAAGAAAGAAAAGAAAGAAAGAGGGAGGGAAGGAGGGAGAGAAAGGAGGAAGGAAGGAAGGGAGGAA